AATCCTATTAATTATATTTAATAGGTGAAAAAAGGTATACGTACAATACAAAAAAGAAAACATAATCTTGATTTGATATTTGTAGCCATTATTCACTTCACCGCAACCAACCTCCTTGTGGTTCTCCATTAATGATTTGCATATTTTAGTTTGTATTTTGTTCCATTTTTCTTCGCATATGGTCTTCAGATCCGAGATGCTTATTGGAACTCTCGACTGGATTTGAATTTTCAAATAACGCCACAGATTCTCGATTAGGTTTAAATCTGGGGATTGACTTTGCGATTTCAGTATATTTACATTATTTTCAGCAAGCCATTTCTTCGTAGATTTTGCTGTGTGCTTAAGATCATTATCTTGGAAGATCCAATTACGAGTAAGTTCAGCATTTTCAACCGAAATCATTAAACTTACATCCAAAATATTTTGATATGCTGCGTCATTCATTGTACCATCCATTACTGATGATTTCCAGTACTTTTTGTAGAAAATGTCCTCAAACCATAATGCTGAACTGTTCTTTTATTTGAAGGCATCGCCATCTTTCCTCCAAACATAATTTTAAAAATTTTGGTTTCTGTCCATCATACTCTTTCCCAATACGATCTTTCTTCATCCTTATGTTCACTAACGACTGTCAACTTGACATCTCTGTGTCTTTTCAATGGAGGTAGCGTTTTCCGAGGGCTACGTAACCGTAGATCTTCCCAAAGAAATTCATGTCATATTATCTGTTTCGTGACACAGATTCCTGATGAAAGCAAATCACCCAAATCACAGCAGATATATAACATAACGAAAATGTGATTAAAATATTAAATTTTTCTCTTTTATTTATATTCTAGCGATAAACGGCATGTATATTGGCTAAAATGTCTACACCGGAAAAATTTTAATTTGGAATGATATCTAGATAGTAAAACATTTTAACATGCATATAATATAGAAAAAAATATAATTATAATATTTTCAAAAATCCTATTACTGACATTCTCTCGAAACCAAAACAAATGTTTTCCTTGTACTTGATGCAATTCCATGACACATAGATGGCAATATAAAGTGGAGACCGCATATCAAAGTAGATTCATTACACGTAGAGAACGACCCAAAGTATCAGTAAAATAATTATCTTTATTAAAATAACACAACCCCATTCGAGTTTCTTCGATTTCCGATATATCTGGACTAATAAATTTATATTTTCAAACGAACATCACAGCTGCATTTAATAAACGCGCTGGGAAAGAAGAAAGAACAGAAAAGCCGGTAAACTTAAGTTTTCATTTGCTTTAAAAAAAAATAAATAAAGATAAAAACGAAGCGAATATAAAGACTGGTACATTCTATTCCAGTCTCGATTAGCGATTTTCCAAGCGTAGCTCAGATGTGGCACAAGGCCGGAAATAGGGGACACCCAGTGAGGATCGAACTCAGTCGTAATTGTTCTAGCGAGACAAACTTGCTAAATATTACACCGCCTCGAGGTGCCCATTCCAGTCTCGAGTAGAGGTGTATAGCAATTCAATAAATACAAATATGTTATCTAAACACATGAATGGAAATATAATATATTTCTTATACATGTTTTTAAAAAATAGCCTCTTACATTATAAATACTTAAAAATGGAAAATGACATTTTGCTGTTAAATCTTCTCGTTTCACCATAGAATATAAATTAAATAGTAAATACTTCAATCAAAATTTTGAATAGTCGGTATAAAATTTGATATTTCATTGAAAAAATTGGCAGATTACAAAATGTTCTGTAAATGTATTTAAAACACGAATATTTACTTTAAAAACATAGGACCACGTCTCGAGCATATTCATGACACATAGATGGCAATATAAAGTGGAGATCGCTTATCAAAGTAGATTCATTTCTCGTAGGGAACTATTTCGGTGTACGAAATAAAGGGGTCAGTTTGAAATTTCAATCAGATGACTATGGCAACAAAAATGAAGACAGCAGACAACAATGCAAATATTGTAAAAAAGAATAATGTAGTCAGGAAATGCCAGATATCTGAATCAAAATTAATGATTTATTCTACCCTGTCCCCAATATAAACAGGATTCACCCTATGAGATAATATATTAGAATTTGTGTTTGGTATCAAATCAGAAAGTTAAAAACACCGGAATTTTTATCTAGAAATTGACATCAAACTACAAATTCAACGACCGCTCTTGAAACTATGCTCAAAAATAAATAAGGAATTGTATTATAATAAAATCTATAATAATCAATATGATAAAAACTTTTCGACATGACTAAAGTACATAGCAATCATCTGCTATAAAACAGTGTTGTTTGCTTACGACCATATCACGTTGCGACATCGGATTCCGCCAAAGTTAAACAACGTCGATACCAGGTCAGTACCTAGATGGGTGACCGTATGGGATTACCAGGTGCTGTAAGCTTGGATGTGTGGGTGGTGTCATGGACCATGCCTCGGCATTGTTAATCGGAAAGCCGTGTTCCCGTTTGGTTCGTTATATCCACTTATGCGCAAATAACGTCGGGAAAGGTATGTATTTAGCTCTTCCCCTCCCAAGTATCGATTAATTAGTAAAACTTCTATCTCTAATTATTATCTAAAAATACTTACAATCTAAAGATATTTTCTAGGTTTAAATAACCTGAAAAGGGTTGATAAGCCGTAAAAAACGAATAAATCAGTGTATCGGTAGCTTGTAGGGTGGTCGGAAAGACTTGTCACCTCCACAAAAATGTAACGAGCAGAATAGAAGAACAAATATTACAGTAATACAAAGCACATGTACTGGATTCAGTTTATTCACTTTCATTGAAGCTGTCATACATCCAGAAGGTCTGTATGAACACCATCATTTTCGTGGAAGCCATCTGAAACAGAAAATTATATTATGTATGGGTGACAAGACTGTCGGACCATCCTGTAAAATTGTATGTCACTAATATCATAGTCTGAGTCAATTTTTAAAAAGGGTTTATCATAAATAAATAATTATTCGATAAAAAATCCTGGGGTATTTTTATGTAATATCAACCTTTAAACGTGTCTTTTTTTGTAAATTAAAAAAAAAAAAAAACCACTGCTTTCGTAGTTTTCTATTTTGAAATATATTGATTCTCTCATAGCGGCATTTGCCTGTTGTTCGAGTTTTACAACGCAATAAATGGGGAATAAAACTTGCAGAAATTCTCTCCCTTTAATTCCTTCTCCTCAAATCAAAAATGTTAGACAATGATGTTTAACATAAAAATCAATAATTTCGAAAATAAGAAACGTTTCAATTATCCAAATCAAGGATCATTTTTTTTGCAACTTCTATGTATTTATTTATCTTTATGCTAAGGAACGAAAGTACAAACTGGAAGCTTTCAAATTCAGAGATAAGATATTACTAATAAAAAAAAGTATTGAGATTAAACAAATATTGATAGACGGAAAGTGCAGATATGGATGATTAAAAATGTCAGCATAGCTATAGATCAAAAGGATTTGTTGACATTTAACGGGCGTTCTTTTAAAAGAAATACTGACGGAATGTATATATATATATATATATATATATATATATATATATATGTATGTATATATATATACAGAAAAAGAAAAGAGTGAGAAGGAGAGAAAGTGAGAGAGAAACACACAGACAGCTATATATATATATATATATATATATATATATATATATATATATATATATATATATTAAAAAGTAAGTAACCGTTTTTTGGTTGTAATGTTGATATTTTTAGATATATATTATGTATTAATGAAGCATAATATATATTTTTTAAAACTCCAAATTACAACCAAAAACATTTGAGGTTTTTCTCTTCTTTTTAATATATACACTTTCCTCTCGTTGGAATAACAATCACTTTTCCCCTTTATTTATATATATATATATATATATATATATATATATGTGTGTGTGTGTGTGTGTGTGTGTGTGTGTGTGTATATATATATATAAAGGTTTTGAAAGCAAAAGCTTTTAAAAAGGAAAAAAATCTATCAATTTCTAGCTTAAAATAATTAAATGAAGGTTGAAGTAAGTTCATAATTTTAAAAATATAAATATCAAAATATGACATCGATACCTTTATATTTTGATTGGGTAAAATGATAAATTTTCCAATAATGTTCAAATATCTGAAAACACCCCAAAAAATCTATGAATGAATGTTTTTCAAAAATATTATCCAGCATCTGAATAAAAATCAAATTTAGATGATTCCTTTTTAAACAACACTAGATATTGTATTACCATATATTTTTCACGTAGCTTCTTTAGTGATATCTTCTAATTCCATAATAACAATTGCACCAAGTTTTCTCACTTTGACAAAAGCTTGAATGGCAGTTGGTTGGAGGGGGGATGAAATGAGAATCCAATACATTATTCAGCAGTAATAATCTCCGAGACCAACATTCGGAGTCTTATTTTGTAATTCAAAGATCTCAAAGTCGAACCGAATTTAATTATTCCAATTGTTTTATTTACATTGGTACCACTCATAATTAATAGCATATCGTTTTTTCTTTTAATTAATCCACCCCAAGCAAAATGCAAGGGGCTACTGGGAGTGAAAGAGAATGCAAAGACTTTAGAAGGAACCCGAAAATCAATCCTTAACAGGAAACAAGGAATAGAAATCTAATCCTTCTCTAAATATGAGGTAGTATCGGGAAGCGGACGATAGGTGAACACCTCTCTACTCATATTGATATAAAAATAGTGAATAAAATTTCAGAGTTTAAGCGTAGACGTTAGAATTATAGTGTTGAGAGGAGACTAGAAAGAACGAGAAACCCAATCCTAAACAGGAAACAAGGGAAAATCCTCTACTACTTTTCCAAAGACAGGGTGACAGTATGAACCAGACTATAGGCGAACTTATCTACTCCTATTTTGTATGCTTATATGTTGCAAGTATATAAAATTAATTCTGTAATATATAATGTTACCGAACTCTTTTTGATTTATATGAAGCATTTCAGTGTGATAGATAGATAGATAGATAGATAGGAACAGACTGAACAAGAAAGAAACAAAGATAGATAGATAGATAGATAGATAGATAGATAGATAGATAGATAGATAGATAGATAGGAACAGACTGAACAAGAAAGAAACAAAGATAGATAGATAGATAGATAGATAGATAGATAGATAGATAGATAGATAGATATGAAGAAAGAAAGGAAGGAAGAAGGGAAGGAAAAACGAAGAAAGAGGAGAGAAAGTTATAGAGGAAAAAAAGGAAGAAATGTAGGAAGGAAAAAGCAATTAGAATTGAAGAGAAGAGAAAGATAGATAGATAGGAAGGTGATAGAAATATATAAAGGAAGAACCGAAGGAAAAAGAAAGGCTGAGGGTACAAACATATATAGGAAGGAAGGGGATGGATAAAAAGGAAAGGAATAAATAGATAGATATATAGATAGATAGATAGAAAAAGGTGATAGAAATATATATATATATATATATATATATATATATATATATATATATATATAGGAAGGAGAGAAGGGATGAGATAGATAGAAATGAAGGGATGACATAGATAGATGAAACCCCAATTAAATTTACATGGTCGAAATATAAATAGACTACAACAATCAAACAGGCTCTTAATGACTTATGGTGTATATTTGCTCTCATAAATGTTGAGATAATTATGAATGTAATAACACATGCTAAATGAAGCGCCTTTTAGTCAAAATATTGAATGTAAACGTCTATATGTTGAAATTTATATTTGGTGGTATAGACTTTTACATTTGGGATACATGTTAGACTGAAATCCATTTTTACTCGTCATTTCGGAAGAAGTATTCCATGTAGCATTTGGAAATATGTTCACCGCTTTAAAGAGAAGGTATTATGACTACATTACCTCCTAATTAACATCGGTAAATGATAGAAATATGAAATATTCTGGCTGATATTTCCTTAAAAACAAGCAGGCTTGAGACTATATCACATTGTAACACAGGTTCTCGTCCGATCACTGATGTTAAGCTACGTATTCCGAAGCAGTCAACCATCTAGTTACATACCAGACTCGACGTTGCTTAACTCCGGTTAATGTAAGAGAATAACATGGCTTCATCTAGAACAATTTTTTTTTATTAATAAAAACGAGCACTGAGTGGCGTCTTTAGTGATCAGAACTATCACGTTTATATAGCAAGAAAAGGTGATTCCTGTAATCTATATCAGCTGAGAAGGCAAGAGAAGATTATGATTTCATCTGGAATTTATGAGATTACACAAGGACCTCGACGGCAGCAATCACTCAACAATAAGCCTTAGAAGAAACTTTGTAGATGATTCTTTTCTTTTTATGAACCATGGCCTTTCAGGAAGTAGGCGATCATGGCTCTCAACCTCCCTCTATCGTTTTCAGCTCTCAACAAGTTCCTTCCCTCTGCTTCCATCCCAGACCACATTCACCTGCTCAGGCTCAACAGGTATATCACGCGCTTCTTTCCCTTGTTTCTCTTTCCCTTTATTCGACCCGCGAGTATCAGAATCTCCAGGCCCTCCTTCCTCATTATGTGTCCCAGAAATTTCAGGTGTCTCTTTCTGATGTTAAGTATAAGCCTTCTTGTTTGCAGTGTCTCCAAGACCTCATCGTTGCTCACACCCTCAGTTTATGATATACTTAGCATTCTTCTGTAGAACCACATCTCCGTCGCCTCGTGTTTCTTCTTCATCTTTGAGGAAATCGTCCAACATTTGCTGCCGTACAGATGCGAAACAAACAGCTCAGTATTCTTTTCTTCGTTACCAAAGAAATCCTCCTGTCTTGCAATACTCTGCCCAGCTTTTGGGATGCGTCCTTGTTTATTCCAATACGTCTACGGATCTAAGTGTCGCTCTGTGAAGACGCTTCCCAGATATTTAAACTTCCGCGTCTGCTTGATTCTAGTGTTTTTGAGAAGATTAAAGATTTCAATCTAAAAGACTTCTCGATGAAAATCACGAAATGAACTGCAAATGTTACGCTGGTATCAGAAAAAAAAATGTCTGTTGAATTGGGGGTTCGTGCCTAACGGATATTACAGTTGGATTCAAACTGCTAAGAGTCCAGCTAAGTTACAATGCCCGATAATTTTCAGGAGAGGAGATAAAGGAAAAAGTGAATTCTGGTCATTGCTATTAGTGAAACCAATAAGGTAATCTTCAATTTGATTTAGAAACTGAATAAGGGAAAACATAAACGCCTGAATACCGGCAAGCCTAATAATATTAAAATGAAGGACCAAGTTAACAAGATGAGCATTAAAATCGTCAAATGCAAAGATATTCGCAACTTAGTATAGTCAGGGATATTTCGATACTGTTAGATATGTTGTCTAACTTTTGGTAGCTAACAGTGAGACATAATGATAGTTGGATGTACATGAAACAATCATTTAAAAACTCAAGAGCTGATTCCATAATCATTGTAAGATTTTCCCGAATGTAACCACCAAGGACTTGCATATGTACTTGAGAATCTTTTCGACAAAGAGGAAGTTGGAACATACAAGAATTGTGAATGATTTTTCCTCTGTGCAAATACCATAAAATGTTCTAAATTTAAATGTCTGACCAGGTGGAACAAATAAATGAAGTTCATCTGAACATTTGTCATGGAAACAGCGTTAGGTTATCGACCGATTTACAGTGTTGTGTCTGTAGAAAATTGGTAAAGGTTAGTTGCTTCGTTTTTGAATAAAGTTTCACTATAATAAAAGCTAAATACAGAGAATTGACGCACATAGTGTGCTTCAATATATCGAAAGGACGGGGTCGTCCTTGGTATGGTGATAAACTACAGCCGGCAACAAGACCTCTGATCAGGATATTTTGTGGGAGAAGTGAACTACCTCTTGCTGGCGTTCTCAGTTATACCCTGACCCGGTGTGGTAGCACTTGTTAGGGCTCCAGCGATGGGCAAGTAATAAAACCCTCAAAATGGGGGCCAAGTAAAAATAGGTTTTAATACTTCCAATAGATTTCTGGAAAAAAATATTACCAGCAATACAGTTTTGGAAAAAAAATATTACCAGCAATTCATTTTGTAAAAAAATATAAATATAAATATAATATATAAATATAAAAAATTTGTTTGGATTAAATTACCAATTGATGTTGTTATACTGTAAAACAAAAGAAACTAAACCCAAAAACTGGGTTTTGACGGATTTTAAATTCAAAGTTATTTTCTCCTAGAATGGATGCCAATCAAGGCTATTGGTCTCATTCTCTTCTGTTGTTTACACATAGGTGGTGGGAGAAAAGATTGAGTCCCAAAGGCTTTTTCACGTGAGTGCATGTCACAAACTCGATTGTATTTTGAAATCTACTCCCCTATGTCTCAATTCGAGCTGCTGTTCATTACACCAAACGCGCATTCCCGATATATATATATATATATATATATATATATATATATATATATATATATATATATATATATATATATATATATATATGGGGTGTACGGAGATTGTATGTACATTTCTTGCTCGTTGTATTATGTAAATAATCTCTTCCAAAGATTTCGAATCTCCCACCTAAAAATGGCAAAAACAAACAAATCGAAGAACTATTTGTACGCGTTAAGAATTTATTTGAAACGCTTTTCTATCAAGACTGAATGACCTCCCAGAACATTTAGGTCAGGCTTCTGAATAGGTTCATTTAAAAATAAACGATCACAAGTCTAAATCGATAAGGTCAATTCAGTTCAGCTAGCATGGATACTCAGTGAATATTCAGAGCAGTTCGATCAATTTTGGAACATAGACAAAAATAACAAAATCAACCGAAACAAATGTAAACTAAAAAAAGAGATTCGATAATTGCTTTAAAGTTGAGTCTAAGGTTAAAAAAAACGTTTTTATTTCACGTATGTTATTACCGTAGATCGACAGTTTATTTCAATTTTATTGTGCTTCTTAAATGTATCTGGAGATTCTGGACAACATCCAGGAGAGAAACTGCAAACTCATAATTCCTGAGCTGATATCACGGCTTCAGTAATATAACTTACATTCCCTATGAATTTTTCTATAAATATTTTCATGATAATGAGTTTTGCTTTTTGGTATCGCGACTTCAAGAATTTAAGAACAGTAAAATGTAGGATATAACCGTAAGTTCTATTCTAATAGTTTCTTCACCTTTTGTATCCTTGAATTTTGTTCTTTAATTTCCCTCTCTCATCGATGACGTTTTCTCAGTTTCTGTCAGTAACTCCCCTTACTTTTAGTGACATTATCGCCTTATTAGAAATATGTAACTCACTGTTTCTCCTTTTGTGCTGGCTTCATTAAACCTGTAAATACACAAGAAGACTTTATATATATATATATATATATATATATATATATATATATATATATATATATATATAAAAATCTTCTGGTGAATTTAATTTAATTTTTAATTTAATATATTCTCTAAAGAATTCCGTGTACAGCTCGATATTCCTAATAATGTAACCGAAATTTAATGGTGTAAATGAATGGTGTATATATATATATATATATATATATATATATATAGTTGGATAGATGTGAGTTTGTGACCCTGGGTTTCACGGTTTCTAATAAGTACCGCGCATATAATATATAAATAAGTATACATATATATATTTATTTATATTTATATACACTTATATACACACACACACACACACACATATATATATATATATATATATATATATATATATATATATATATATATAGGAGTATGTGTGTTTGTGTGGGTGTATGTAAATATATATATGCGTATCTAGGTATATATGCAAGTAGGTATGTAGATATGTATATGTGTTGTACGACATGATTTTTTTTCCATTGGGTCTCTCGGTTTTACTTACAGATTTTTGGAATCTATTCTAACTTTAAATTGTCTCGCCTTTAAATCCTCCATCACTTAATGATATAATCCACTAACAGGAACCTAATTTCATTTACATACAACTAAAGGCTTTGGCCTTAAATAAACTTCCATTCCGGCCAATCTCCTTGTCACCAAACCAGATTCCTTATCAAAACAAGGTGTGTTCTTAAGTAGCCCCGTGCGTTCTCACAGACTGCTATGTAAACTAAATTCAAAACCCCCATTCCCAGACAGTCTGTCTAGAACTGAGAAAGTCTAGCATATGGTAGTGCCGGCCTGAAATAGATATACCCATATATATATATATATATATATATATATATATATATATATATATATATATATATATATATATATCGTCTTTTTCATATCTTTTCATGTTGATTTAAATATAGTCTAATGTTAATTATGTTTAATGAATTTGTCCTGAAGATGGTCTACTAGACCGAAACGTCCGACGTTGACATTATATTAACATTAAAACAGCATAATTGCATATTAGGATTTTTTGTTTGTTTTCCGTATATTTTTCTTCATACTGTCGGATCTATAATCACATATTTGCTTATATATATATATATATATATATATATATATATATATATATATATATATATATATATATATATTATTAATTAAAGAACATCAAACACTTCAAATCTCATAGGTAATAATTTTATTTCAAGATAACTCTAAAAAAGCAGCAGCTCTCAATCTTCATGACCTACAAAGTAATATTTGGTAATTTGTTCGTAGGTCTTGATGATTGAGGTCTGCTTTTTTTAGAACTCACCTGAAATAAAAGTTATTACCTTTGGGGTTTTAAGTGTTTCATATTCTTTAATTAATAATAATTTTGTATGTCTTTTGACATTGTGCACTCCCTGAATCTATATCCTCCTGGAAATTCTACGCGGATTACCGTATTGTATCATTACTATATATATATACGATCAATTTTACAGGAAGGGGATTTCCTGGTGTTATCGGTCTGGAGGAGGTGATCCCAGCGTGCGGCACCTTTGGAAAGTTCCTGAAAACCATACCACAGGTTGACGCATGCCTTATATGTAAAAATGTGTAGACGGAGCCCTTGAGAGCTGTCGTTGGTTGTGCTAGCACGAAATTCCAAGCCATCGTCATCGAGGGTTTGAGTGTGATACCCTTGTTCAGACGGTTGATCACATTAGATAACACGCTCTCTTCCAGAAACTGTAACTAATGTATGCTCAGCATAGTTGGAGTATAAACCATACTTGACCTCTGTGGGTATTGAACAATCACAAATATGCCTGAGCAGTAGTCCGCAATGGGGATTAAACTGCCGCCCGAGTAGATTGACATCGGATACGAGTGGTTGCGCATTTTCATTTATCGGAGGAATGATAGTTATTTTCCAAGCGTAGCTTAGATGTGGCACAAGGCCGAAAGTATGGAGCATCTAGTGAGAATCGAACTCACTTAATCGGAGGAATGATATTATACAACAGTTCAGTACTGTCTTCTTTCTTTTTAACGAGTTCTTTCTGTTTCGTAATACCTTAATTAGTTTTCAGAAGACATCTTTTGTTATCCTCATATAACTCCAAATTTCAGTGTCGCGTTTTTCGTCCACAAACGCGCCACTGAACTTCGGAGCCATACGGGGATAACAAAAGATGCCTTCTGAAAACTAATCAAATTATTAAGAAACAGAAAGATCTCGTTAAAAAGAAAGAAAACAGTACTGAACTGTTATATTTTAAGGGCTTGGTTCTCAGAGTAAACCCTACATTAAATGTTATCACGATCATTTTTTCAATATCAGAAAATTCATTACTGCTTATGCCATGGCATTTTTATTATCATTTCCATGACAAACAACAGCGTCTAACTTTATCTGAACTGTCTTTAAGACCATCATTATTTTCTTTATTGCTTGAAAGAAAGATGAGAGACTGTATTTCTTTTGTCATCGGCAATTCGCATTATAGTAGCTTCATTCTTTTTTTCTAAACACTGTGTCCCTTGAGGGCATAAGCGATATTTTTTTGGCCCTTCAGGGCATAAGCGATCTTTAAAACATTCAATCTAGTGTGGCTCTTGTGAGTTTTTCTTCTTTAGTTAATGTTCCCGCCTATTGTTCCATCATCCTTTCCCACAAACTCGTCAGTTAATTAGTTCGATGCTTTCTCCATTTCCTCTTGCTTTCAATATGCCTCGTGAGGGTTAAGTTTTCCTAGCCGTCTTTCCAAATTTATGAGTCCAAAGAATTTCAAATGTTCTCTAACATGATTTTGATTATAAGTGTTTTTTCTGTTGTCATTTTCCTCTTTTAAGAATTCCTTTCTTGCTCCATCCATGGAAGTTTCATTATGTTCTTCCAAATAATTACAATCTTTACTGCCTTCATTGAACAGAAATGAACGGATTTTCTACTCGGGGGAAAAGCAGATATTAATGGAAAGAGTCTCATGACAGCCATTATCATCCTCATCGTAGTCTCAGTAGCATCATTAATAGGAATTATAATTATAACAAGAAGGACAGCAATCAGATTATATCGTAACATTTTGATATGATTCTTTGTAACAATACTGCTGCCAGAGTCGATAAAACAGAATCAAATTCCGAGTGGATACTTAAAAATATAAAGGAAACCGTTCATCTCTGTTCAGTTTTGTATTGATTTTTCTTCTTATTTTGGTCATCTGTATATGTTTTTAAGGTGAACGTATTTCTTTCCTTTGTATGGTTAAACTTTGTTAATGATTTATACCCCCACTCGGATATTTTTTCCTTTACTAGAACACAACTTTTACCCGATGGGGAATGTAACCAAACCTCTTGGGAACTGAACTTACATTTTAGCCTCGTGGTAGTTGGTATTAAAACTTAAATTTTTTCAGCCAGTGCTGTCTTCATTGAACACAAGTGGGCGGGGTTTCTAATAGAGAAAGAAAAAAGGAAATAATGAAAACAGTCATATGGCCGACATTATCGATATGGTCTTTCTTATTACAATCAAGGCAACCAATAGCATCATTGAAAGGAATGATAATTCTCAACAACGAAATCAGAAAGAGATTTCTAAAAGAAAATAAATTAAGAATAAAATCGATCAGATGCTATCTTAATTCTTGACATGATTCTAAGAAACTTTGTAAACATAACACTTCCGAAGCTGATCAAATAAAATGAAGAAAAATCAAATTTTGAGAAGAGCTTATTTTTAATTCTTTTTTTTAAACAGAAATCGTTGAAATATTTTTTGTTTGTTTTTCCTTTGATTTTGGTCAACTGGGATATTCCCAAGGAAGATTTCTTTCTTTCTTTCATTTTGTAGGTTAATTTTTGTTGATTTAAACCGCCTACATGATGAATTCTCTCTCTTACCCGCCATGAAATGTAATTAGATCTCTCGGAAATGGATCTTACCTTATCTTAGGGAGAGTTGATATCAAAACTTCATGTGAAATGAATGAATTACTCAGTATATCCGTATGAAAATTTATATATTTATTCTCTATTGTATAATTAATTCAAGGTCCTAGGTAAGACGATAAACTACGCCCAACAGCAAAGCCTTTGATCAGGAGGTTTTGAGGAGCGTGGAAGCATCTCTTAATTGCTTGTGTCCCCACGTCCATTCTCACCCAGAGTGGTAGCACCTGTTAACGTCCGAGCTATGGGTAAGTAGTTAACCCCCAAACTCTGGTTAAAATATCATGAAAGTGTAAAAAATAGATTTTTAATACTTTATAAAAAAATTGCCTGCAATAAATTTTTGAGAAAAAAATTATTACCAATAATACATTTTGGGGAAAAATATATATTACCACCAATAAAATTTTCGCCATTAAATAACCTATTGAAGCTGATATGCCGTAAAACCAAATAAACTAAACCAAAGTTAATTCAAATCCGTATTTTCTTCCAATTTCCAAAGAAGAGACTTCTTAGGTAAAAAAGTTTAAGTCAATGACAATTCCCAAAGGTATAAACAATATAGAAAAGCCTAAGGCTACAGAAAATTGGAACGATATTATTTTAATTAAAATTTTACCTGCACTGAAATATATATGATGATGGCAATATTAACAGGTTGCATAAGGGAAACCTTCGTCATTGAAATCAGGGAAGAATTAGAGTTACTGTCGATTAAAATTTAAAATATATTTTTCTTAACCCTTTGAATTCTGACAACTGCTGACCACCACAGAGTAAATGACATAATGCCCAGTCACCGTTTGAACCAGAGGTTCTCAAATGGTGCACCTGGGCGAACTTGTACACTTGTACAGAAGATGTCTAGGTGCACCCCGGCATTCCAGAGAAATATGTGTCTAGATATAAGAAATAAATATATTTACTTTATTATATTGTTGTTCGTTCTTATTTATGTGAATTAGGTTTTTCTGCTCTCACCAGAATTAAGTGCAAAAAGAGAGGAACTCTTCAATGTATTGCCGAGGCAATGAATGTTTGCCTATAAAATATACGCCCAAACTTTTAAGAAATCGCTAAGACCCATAAGGCTCATGTTTCTCATAAACACAAGAATGAATAAACTTAAGTCATGTTTCAATTTATATTTGTATTGCATTATTTCTTTTCTGCAATATTTGACTTCATTATAACATATTTTTTCTGAAATGTATATATAGTGCACCTACAATTATTGTTGGGATTTCAAGTGCGCTCCAACTTCAAAAAGTTTGAGAATCACTGGGTTGAACAGTGGTAGAGAAAAATGACGTAAAGCCCAGCCACTGTTTGAACAGTGGGTTAAAACTTGTAATTATTTTTATATCTACCGTGAATCATTACATAACAATTATTTGCGAATTTTGAGTCAGGGGCTCGGGTAGAAGAGTTGGAATTGTTCAGGAACACAGGGCTTAAAGTGTTCATTAGAATTCTCAAGTTGTCTAATTGTTATGGCTTTCTTAGCAATGATAAAATTCTCATTACAATATCGTTTTTGAAATATGCAAAGATAAAGACTTGATTATATTACTATTTATCTACTATTTATATATTCTAGTGTTCGTTGTTATTATATTTCATTCGGTCGAGCTATGTCGGACATTAATGAGTCCATTACGCTAACCATTACGATTCTCCATCAAGGTCAGAAAGTCATTAAGGCGACATTTTATGTCATAACGTAGCTGGTCAATGTAGTTTGGTTGCTGGGCGACCAGCCCACTTACGCCATTATTAGGTGTCCAGAGCAGTAGATCACTCGAGCTGTCGAAACTTTTAAATACCGAGTAAGCGATATAAATTCTATTGAAAATGATGTGAAAAATTCGCATGCATGGAATAATGTTGCATATATAGTCTGGTGCCCCTGCTTTTCATCTTGACGTTCTAGACAAAAGCCAAAGATGGATATGCAATGTGATCGCTCCTGACTTGGAGTCTCGAATCCAGTCACTTTCTTACCGACCTAATGTGTCTTCTTTCTGTCATTTCTATAAATATTTTCATAGCATCTGCTCTGAAAATCTATTTTCAATGGTGCCCCGACTGCATAAATTTAAGCGTGATGCTAGTTTGGTATCTCGGTCCCAACCTTTTACTGTCGAAACAGTTAAACGTAACCGCCTCTTCTACTCCAACAGTCTCTTGCACTCCCCGACTGTGGAACTCCCTTCCGCTTACTTGCTTCCCTGATAACTATAATCTTCCAAAATTTAAATGTAATATCAATCGACATCTTCTTATCCCCGTTTTTTTCCTTTTTATCCTTTCCTCAACTCCCACTATACCCTGTCTTTCCCCTTATTTGCACTCTCTGTAGCTACTTGCAAACTACTGGCACTCTTGAATTACTTAAAAAAAATAAAGCTTGATCCTCTTTGAATAAAATGTATTTAATCTGGAAATCTGATATACCAGACAACCACAAACGGATTTTATTTCGAGCCACTGTAGTGGCGGTGTTAATCTATGTTGCCACTGCCCGAACATTAAATAAAACACTAGAATCTAAGGTTGATGAAACCTACACTCGAATGCTGAGAGCTATAAGTAACACCTCTTGGAGACAACACCAAAGTAAATCACAGCTCTATGGACCAATCAGTGTTATTTGTATAATATTAAGCGAACCCAGAATGCGTATTGCAGGACCCTGCTGGTGTGCAAAACAAGTACTTGCGTTGCTTATTACTTATAAAAACTTTGAGTAATGTATTTTTTATTTGATAAAACCCTTACTTATTATTTTGTAACGATAGTCTATAGGTTTTGCAGAAGTATTGTTTTCTTTTAAATTTATAGGATTTCTTCATTTGAGGTCATTTTAACCAGGCATCTGTGAAAACTGTCGAATGCAGATTATAGTTTAAAACTTTCTGAATATCTTGACATCTAAATGCTTAACATCTATATGCCATGTAGTGATTTTCTAAGCGTAGCTTAGATGAGGCACAATACAGAAAATATGGGGCACCCAGTAAGGGTTGAATTCACTGTTCAGTCGTAATCTTTATAGCGAGACAAGCTTGCTAAATATTTGACCACATCCAGATGCCAATAAAATAATTTTCTATGCGTAGATTACATGTGGCACAAGGCCGAAAATGCTGAGCCCCCAGTGAGGACCGAGCTCTGTATTCACTTGTAACTGAGCTTGACAAGCTTGCTAACTATTACATCACGTCGATTAACCAAATCTATATGCCATATGGTTTGGACAAATTGTTCGTTCTGTTTCCGTTGTTAGATGACATTCAGTCAGACAGTTACGTGCCACACGGGATACACGCTAGAGCCATCATGTTTCTTTTGATACATGGCTAATGAGGCAGAAGATTTTTTCCCGCAGTAGGTTGCCATTTATTTCTGCGGTAGACTGGTTGCCAACCAAGGATAAAGAACTCAGTCTGTCCTGCTGTTCAACCCATAGCTGGGAGGAGAAGAGAGGCATTCATATCTTTCCCAACGGTATTTGTATGTAAGTGAA